ATGTTTTATGATTTTATACTATGATGATGATATTTATGTTTGTTAAATGACTTTGAAAACAAAATTTTTAGACCATATTTTTAGGATATTTCAAAACAGTAATTAACAAAAGTTTTTAAAATTTTGTAACTGAAGCTATATTTTGTGTACTAGCTGAAAAGTTATATGTTAGTTGAAAAACTAGCTAATAAAAAAATACTGTTGGGTAAAAGTAACTGATAAGCTAGCTGAAATATATAAAATAACATAAAGGGTATTTAAAAATATATATTTTCTATAATTAACTAAGGAGTATATTTGGAAAGTTTTAAAAAGCTCCTAAAAAGCTAGTATAAGTAACTTTTAAGCTACTTTTTGGCTTGCCAAAGATGACAATTTAAAAAAACTCAAAAAATAATTTAGCTTATTAGTTAGTTATGGCGCATCAAATATAACTTTAATCTTAAAATGTCAAGCATACATGGGCAAATTAATTATAAGATTTATAAGTATATAGTGGCATGGTTATTCTCCATGTCTATGAAACTACAAATTTGCTTGTGATCATAATATCCTCAATGGATAGGGTCCATAAAATAACTATTCTATCAGGAAAAACTATTATAGAAGGCCAATCGCTAAAATATAAAAAGAAGTAAGGTTCCATGATAAAAAGGGAAAAAAAAAAACTATTATAGAAGGCTAATCACTAAAATAGAAAAGGAAATAGGGTTCAATGATAAATAACTATTTTTAAACAAATATCATGAAATGATCATCTATCTTGCAAAATGGATTTTTGAAAATGTTATTTATTACGAAGATTTATGAATGATCTTTACTATAGGAAATTGTAATTTTTTTTTTTTTTTTTACAAAAATGACCGTAAGATGACAATGTCATTTCTAAAAGAAAAGATGATGTCATTTTGCATAACATGTGATTTCACAAAATCCATTTTACAAAACAAGTGATCAAATATGATATTTGTTCAAAGAAATTGTAACACCCGGATTTCAGAAGGCTTAGAAAGGGAAGGAATCTCAAATGAAGGGGGGGGGGTGACTCGTCGAGTAGATGGGTGACTCGACAAGTTGGGATGCGATTTGGTCGCAGGTCTAGTGACCTAGTCGACGAGTCAGAGGACTGCCTCGGTGAGTTGGCCAGGTTTTGAGAAAACCCTAGATCGGGATTAGGTGCCCTATTTAAGCAACTTATTCTCATTCTATCAGCCTCATTTGTAGCCTCCATTGTCCAGAGCTTGTCCCATGAAACCCTAGTGCTCTCTTTGAGTGTGTGAGCTATTATTGAAGGATTTAGAGTGTTCTTGAAGTCTAGAAGAAAAAGAAGGAGTTTGAAGGTCCAAGGAGAAGGAGTAGATCCAAGAGATTCACTCCATTTGCTGCTCATTTTGGTAATCAATTTCTCACCTTGACTTCTAGCTTATTTAATCTCCTTATGTTCCTTTTTATGGAGTTTATGGACCAAAAATGATGCCTTGTGGGATTTGGACGTCACCAAGCTAGATCCTTTCAGATCTAGGGGTGTTTAGTGAAGTAAAGGCACAAAGGTGGGAGCTTTATGCCATCAAACCTCCCCATACAAAGATTAAGTGGTTATTATGGCCTTTTGAGTAAAAATGGTCATGCAAGGGTGCAAAGGTAGCAACTTTGTGTGATATCCTGACCCTAGGAGGCTAGATCTGGGTCTTGGATGCCTTGAGTTTGTCTAAAATCATCTGAATAGTGTTGGACATAGAGAGACTCAACGATTCAGTTGTGGCACTCAGCGATTCATGACCAGTTCTTGCCCCAAAACCCTTCTGTTAAGGGTATGAGTTGAGTTTGAAAAGGGACTCAGCCAGTCTGAGTCCGTAAGGGTCATGATGTTCATCGTACTCGACGAGTTCAAGGAAGAACTCAGCAAGTCTAAGGCAATCTCCTTAGTTTATGAAGATGGACTCGACGAGTTGTTCATACAAATCGACGAGTCGGTTGATGTTGGTCCCGATTGTATGGTTAAAGGGAAACCTGTCTAGTTCTTGCTAAACTCGACGAGTGGACTCGGGGTTGTATCGGGATTAGAGGAGTATGGATTCGACGAGTTGGTAAGCCAACTCGGCGAGTCAGGTCAACTGGATGTTGACTCTAACCGTTGACTTTGACCAATATTGACCAGGGTTGACTTTTGGATTATTGTGGTCTAATTGTTGTTTGGGTATTGATAGTTCGGGAAGCCGAAGGGTCGGCGGTTCAGAAGTGTCGGTTAGCAGTCAGAAGTGTTCAACAAGTCTTCAACAGTGCGAGGTGAGTCTCCTCACTGTGTGTATGGGTCTACGGCCACAATGTCGCCTCATTATGTTTATGTTTATGTTTATGCTTGCGTATAGAAGGAAGACCCAGGGGATAGCCCTAGGCACTTATTGATATATGATCCGGGTTACGACCCAATGTCGGGAGAGGCCCGAGGAATGATAGGATGCTAGAGGTCTTTGTGATTCTTGCATGTGTCAGTATGATAAGTTCCAGACCGAGGGTCCAAGTTTGGGGTTAGCCCGAAGTATGTTAGATAATAGTAAGCCTCTGGACCAGGGGTCCGATGTCGGGGTAAAACCGAGGAAGGTTATTATGTAGTATGTAGTTTGTACTCGTTGTCTTCATGAAAATTGTATGTGCCTGGTAGGGAAGTGAGTGTGGATGAGGTCCCGTATCTCACCACTAGCCGAGTATGGATGGGGTTCCATGTCTCGATATTAGCAGAGTAAAGGCGAGGCCTGTGATAGGAAGGACATGAGTGTGGGTGGGGGCTCGTATCTCACTATTAGTTGGAGTAGGGGACGGGGTTCCACTACTTTAGTAGCAGACCAGGGGCGAGGCCTTAGATCAAGATGTAGTTAGATTATGTTTATGTATATTCTTGTATGTTATTTAATCGTATGCATGTGTATGGTGGGCGAGGCCCATAGACAGGCGAGGCCTAAGGGAAACAGATTTGTATACCGAGCGGGGCTCGATGCCAGGTGGGACCTGATGCCAGGCAGGGCCTGATGGCGAACGGGGTCCGGTGGCGGGCGAGGCCCAATGCAACGGACAGGGGCCCATAATATGGTGATGTGCTCAGGATTATGTATGGCATGTGGTAGGTTGGGGAACTCACTAAGCTTCTTGCATACGGTTTTCAGTTTTGGTTTCAAGTATTTTCGATAGCGGAATGGGGAGCTCGGATGATCGCATGACACACACCAAGAAGTTTAACCTGGGATGTTTAATCTGATAAAATGAATAAGTGTTTTGAAAAGATACTCTGATTTGTTATAAAACCCTTTGAATGTGTTGAAATGATTTAATACTACGATTATCAATGTCTTTTTTTAAGAAACTTTTGGTCATGATTTTTGGGATGTTATAGAAACCCTTTTATGACCATACTTCATCCATTTTCTGACATTTTAAGGATAATCATAAAATAAATAAAACTGTAACTCCTAAATTATTATATCAAGTCTTTAAGGGAAATAATAATCGAACTCTCAAAATTATGGATAATTCTACCTCTAAATTATTATATCAAGTCTTAAGGGAAATAATAATCTTTTTGAACTCTCAAAATTAATGGTTGTTCATGGATGATTAAGGGGGGTGTTTGGGACTTGTTAAAATTGTTTATTAGCATTATTATTGTTGTTATTGGTAATAAGCATTGTTTAGTGTTTTGATAACAATAAGTTAAAAGCATTGAGGTTTGTTCATGGATCATTAAGGGATGTTTGGGACTTATGAAATTTTTACTCGTACCTTTATCCAAAAACAAATATACATGGTTACCCCGTTTTTTTTTCTTTTGTTAACCGGATCCATATTACCATTCTTCTCAAGTAATATATGTTAATATCCTCTACAATTTAATGATTAACGCGTGTGCATGTGTGTACGTTGCAAATGAAAACAAAACGTTATAGTTATAATAATAATAATAATAATAATAATAATAATAATAATAATAATAATAATAATAATAATAAAAAGAAAGAAATCGAATAATCTAACCATTTTCTTGTTTTTTTTCAAAAAATATAACTAATTTTTTTTTTTTTGAAAAATAACATTTTGGTCCGTAATAGGTCATTCCGGACCCGAAAACCGGCCCAAGTCTAATACTTTAATATATATATATATATATATATATATATATATATATATATATATATATATATATATATATATATATATATGGTTCCCACACAAAAAATCTGGAATAGCATTCCGAAATTAGCAGATCCAAAAGCATGTTCTACCCGTATTTTGGATCAAGTTTTCAGTATCGATGCGTTAAATCAAGTAGGTTCTACATTTTAAGTTATTTTGTATTTGATTTTCTGAAGCGATTTATGTATTCCAGAATGTTCCGGAACACGAGGAACAACTCCGAAATATTCATATTATCCTTTTTTTTTAACTTGTTTCTCGTTATACGTGTATGAATGTTATGTAAGTACTTTGTAATGTGATTCTGATCAATTGTTTTAGTCCGAAATTAGGTGTTTTAAGGGTTCCAGAATGATAATGTAGGTCTTGAACACCATGAACGTTGTCCGAAACCTGATGATCTATTAAGGAATGATGATTCAGAATACTTATAATATACAATTCTTTTTTCTAAGTGTTTTTAATAACTTATGTTAGTCCAAAGACAAGTTAGCGTAGATGTTAAAAAAATAGGTTTTACGGACGACGAAGTTGTATTCCATTTACAAGAGATTTCGGCATTGCGTCTGATAAAGGTAAAATAGAAAAACAATAATTTTATAATTATTATTTATTTTTATGGCAATGTATTAAAATGTACTTGGAATTTTATTATTGTTATTATTATTATTATATATATATATATATATATATATATATATATATATATATATATATATAAAAGTTTACATGTACGATAAAAAAAAAAAAAAAAAAACTATGAAAGAAAAAGAATGTTTTATGAAGAGCTTATGTCATAAGGCACTATGACAAGCCTTATCTTGAGTTGTTGTGTGACTCCTAACAATACCATCTTTGGGGTTTTGGAAGGTCGAAGTCGTGTCTTGTTGCTATGATGATGCATTTTTTTAGAACAATGATTTTTCAAGATAAATGATCCAAAAAAATCAAAGGTTTCTTAAAAGTAAATAACATTTTTTAAAAATAAGTATGAAGTAAAAGTGATTAAACATTAATTAAAAGCTTGAAATTTGGAAAAATACAAATAATAAAAATAGAACATTGACTGGACTGGACAGGCCCAAGTCGCAGGCTCCCAGGCCCCAGCGAACAGGCATGGACCGGTGTATCCAAGGGTGGTAGTGGACGTATTGTGCTCCTTTTTTGCTTGAATTTTAGAGCTTTCTTCTCCTTATTTTTGTTTTATCCCAAATTTTATGTTCTTAATCAATCGTACACTAAAGTTATGTTGCTGCTTTTACCGATATAAGGAAGGTGGTACTCATAATTTCTACCAATTATATAGCTCAATGATGACAATACATATCTCAGCAAAACTACAATCAATCATTATGCTGCCTCCTGCAATTGAGGTGCCTGCATAAACAGGTACTGCAAAAAAATAATATTAAATAAATAAATCTTGGAAATAATACAAGTTTTCATGAGCAAAATTGGAGATGTTTAATCATATATATATCTTGAGAATTATTACCTCAAATGATTTGCCAGAACGTTCAAATTCCAGCATGCTTAAAGCAACTTCACAGCTCTGTGAAACAATGGGCTCTGGATCCTTGGAAAATTCCTCAAGCAGAGAGACACACTCCTCATCTGTCAACCACCCAAAAAAAAAAAAAAATTTTACATAAAAATGTTAATTGGCAGCAAAACATATGAGATACTTGGTAGTATATGTAATGTAAGCAAACCTGCGATTGAGCCAAGGGCCTCAGCTGCTTCATGTCTGACCATAGGATGCTCATTCACATCCTTAAGTACCCTGGAGAGCGCATCTGAAGCATATTTGTTTTGCAATTGCCCCAACACATACGCAACCTGGATTCCCATTCCCATGAAATTTTAAATTCTTATCCTTCCTACCAAAAAAAATCATGACTGAAGATAAATGTGGACCTCATGTCGCAATAAAGCACTTTTTGAATTCAAAGATTCTACTATAGCAGCAACTGCTTCTTCACCTCCATGATTCCGGAGTCCGAAAAGAGCTGAATACCTCTCGTACATCCCCTTTTCTTCATCTAAAATCACTTCCCTACCAAAAAAAAAAAAAAAAAAATCTGTAACTAAAAAGCATTGATCAAGTGAAAAAAGGAAACAGCACCTTAGATCATGTACAGAAGAGCAAGAAGCAGGTGCAGCTGGATCAACAGAAAGAAATGGTGACTGATGGGTGTGGGTGTCACCAACATTTTTAAGCTCCTGAATTCGAGCAAGAGCCAACTCACATGTCTCTCTAACCTCTTCTGCTGGATCTGAATCCAAACTGTCCCTCAGAAGAGGAATATTACTCTCTAAACCAATGGCACCAAGAGCTTCTGCAGCCTATTCATATGCACCACAAACATTATTACCAAAACACAACTACAAAATGTTGTAAAATGCATCAATGAAAGAAAGCCAACCTCATGGCGTACAATAGGATGCAAAGAAAGATCATTAAGAACAACCTTCAAAGCAGGAATAGCATCAGCATCTTGCATTTGACCCAAAGCAAAGGCAGCCTCATGTGCTAATAGGTTTGAAGAATCTTTTGTTGCTGCATTAACCAAAATTATATCTCTTAAAACTATTCACGAGTATTCAAAACATACATACATACATACATACATACGAGCCAACTGTGTATGATTATTTTCCATGAAGCATAGGAGGCAAAACTAAGTTTTTGCAAAGAGAATCTTACGCCTTTTCTTCAATCTAAAAACAATTCATTCCTATTTGACCGGTTGATATGAGTTTCTTTTCTTGAATTTGGATTTATACTAATTTCTTGAATCAATCATGGTTAGAATATCCAAGTGGTCATTATGTTTGGTTTATGAGTTTGGCATGAATGTTGAATCATATATTATTTTTTCAATTCTTTATTTTTTAAGACTTAGATGCTACATAAACTTGTGATTGTAGCATTCAAGCAAATGGTTAAGGATACAAGTGGTTTATGAACAATTGTTATATACCCATCAAACACCATGGATTTTGATCAAGGAAAATGGTTCAGGACACAAGCGGGTTAGACTGCTTTATTTGCCAAATGTAGATGTCATTGTGTGTAGGGTTTAAATATTTTCATTTTATAGCTCCTTATTCATATAAACAGATTTCAGGCCACTTTTTTTTTTTTTTTTTTTTTTTTTTTTTTTTTTTTTTTTTTAATACAAGCAAAAACAGGTGTCTTTGAGGGTCCTTTTCTTTTGGACTGGCTCTGAATACGGCAATCATACAACCAATACTGACGTTCTTACCAATCAATTGTTGAGAAAAAACTTAGAAGCATACTACTATTTACAAATTCGCCAATTGTCAACAAGTGTTTAGGTTTCAAGTAACACTATAACACCAAGCAAAGTTTGGAATCGTCTACGAAGCAAACGATTATTGTATGAAGAACAGAAACTACGAAAAATATCGCACATACAGAGATAGAGAAAGAGAACAAACCCAGGATCAGAGCATTGCGAGGGGCAGGGCCTCGAAGATTCCGGAGGGAGAATAGGACTCTAAACCGCTCCGAAATTGGCTGCGTTTGGTCCAATAATCGCTCACAAAGAAATGCCTCTGTCTCGGGAGCGACTTCGAACGAATTTCCATCGACCGCCATTCTGATATCAGCTTGAAGCTTGTTGTGATTTCAAGAACAGAGAAAGGTGGAGAGATCAAGTTACCAAAACCCTAAATCTTGTTAAGAAGTCCTAGTTTTCGACGTTACTGCGGTGAAGACATTTTATCATAGCTTAAGTTTGCAGCCATCGGCCCACGCAATTTTTTTTTTTTTTTTTCTTTTTTTCTTTTTCTGGATGGACCTTATACTTTGGGGAAATACTCATGTCCTAAGCAATTCATGTATTGCTCAAAAGTCATAAAATGTAAGATTTTTCACTCTTTATTGTGAATGATGTTATGGATGTTCACTGTTCATTAAAGATATTGTTATATGAAGCTACAAATGGACACATGTTTAAAATTGTTTTAACTTTCAAAAGTTAAGATTGAACTAGAAGAAAGAAGAACATATATTATAGAAGAAAGAACATATATTATATATACATGGCATCATGACAATAAAATTTGTGTTTTTTTAAAAAAAAAAAAAAATACTGTAGGGTACATTTAGGTTGACTTATTGATCTCTAATATTTTTTATAGGTTATTTAGAATGATGATACATTTTCTCTAATCTAGTTCTAAATTGTGTTATTATTTTAGATGATATTTGGTTTGAAAGACACCATATCAATATCAGATACCGGTAGACTATAATCTTTTTTAGATCGTAATTTTTTTATTTTGTCAAACTGATGTTATAAAATAAAATAAATAATTTAAAAAAAAAGATAAGGTCAAGCAAAACAATGTAATTTGAATCCATTAGGAGTGTAAAAAAATATTAAATATAGTTATCGTAAGTTATCTAATTTATTTTTTTGGATTAATTATACAATGACTATTTAGTTAGCAAGGATTATTTTGTTAGGAGAAATCAAATATCCTCTTACATTTTCATCATACTTATTTTCTTATTCATATGAAACAGTGACATATGTTATATTTTGATAAGGTTAATGTTCTATTTGTCTCATAATTCTATTTTTGACTTTTAAAGTTTTTATTCATCAATTTTGACCTTAAATATTTTTATTCATGTTATGTATTACTTGATTAAACTTATAACAATGAAAAGAAATTTAATACACAATCCATTCATATATTTTGCATCAAGTATTATATATTATATATGAAAATATTTAATATCAAAGTTGATGAATAAAGATTTCAAAAGTAAAAAATGAACAATAAATATGAGACATAGATAGTAATATTTTAATATATTTGTCATCATTTCAAATAAGTAAGAAACTATATAGCTAGAAAAATAAAAAGATATTTGATTTCTCTTTGGTTAGTGATGTAAGTCATATGATATATTTACCATCATATAATTTTTTGTAAAACTGGATGTATTTTTACATTCTCAATTATATCATATGCCTTATATAGTGTTAGTATTGTGATCAATATACATTCAAATCATTATATTTTGACCATTTATGCGGTTTAATTTAACTATATATTTTTTTTCGGTCAATGAAAGATATCCGTTTTTAAAAAAGTTCTCGTTAAGACCACCATGACCTAAATTTCTAGTTTAGCAAATGTTAAAACTAACATAGCTTCTTATTTACATATATGACATTATATGTATTCTATGAAATACCTTATTGTTATCTTTAATGATTTCTCATTTCTGGTATAGCACGTTATACATATACAAATATACAATGTAGGTATCATTTTAGAAAGTTATATGTTTTTTTAGGAAATATATACAATGACACTTAGGTTAATGGGAAGTCTTGTCAATTTTAACACCGGCTAAACCAAAAATAAGGGGTGAGAGTGGGGATTTCTATCAAAATAGGTGGCTTTCATTGAATAAAATAAAATATAATAGTCAAAACCAAAATATTGTGACTTGTATGTATATGGTCCAAATACTTGTATTAATACTAGCTCAAGGTGTGTAGAGCATAAAATCCATAGGCGAAGGGTCTTTCCTGGACAGTATAAACATGATGAAATGAAACAACCGAAATATATTCTGGTTGGTTTGTCATCGGCGAAAATCGGCAATCGGCGTTTAATGGCAATACCAGTAACCATTTGGGCAAGAATCAAAAAACGATGCATACGATCCACTTGGGCAAGAATCAAAAAACGATGCATACGATCCACTAATATTTGCTTCCTGTCAAACCGTAAATATCGATGATCCTATGTTTTGATCATAATCAATTTCCTCCTTTATTCCGCTGTATCTATATCTGTACACGTTAAAAAAATCGATTTGTTGTAGGGTTGTTTTGAGGATGGGATTGAGTAAAACCGAAATTAATCTGAAAAGATTGCTAGCAGCTGCTCCACAACAACAAAACAAAGTGAAACTTGTGCATGTAAGTCGTCTAAACTTCGATAATATTTTCTTGCTTATCCACTTTTCAGTTTACATCTTCAGAAACCTCGAGATTTGTTGATTCGGAACTGCTTATGTAAATTTGTAAATCTTGTTTGTGACATAATTGTGTTTGTCACCTGTTTGATTAAATGTCTCTGTAATCAAGATTTGAACGCCACCGATAACATCTCACATTGTGGAATGTGGAGCTAATTCGATGGGTATCTTGCAGTATGTTGCTACTTTACGCGAACAGTTGGAACAACTCGCCACAGAGCAAACTCCAGAAGGACTACCCAGGCATGGTTTCTTTAATTTTCTCTTTAATTCACCTTTGCATGTGTATTTGTGAATGGATAGATGTTATGGTGTCCAAGAACTCCACAAAATGCTTGATAAGGTTATGGTTTTTCCTCTTGTGCCCATAGACTTTCAAAAGCTATAGTGAATGATTACTCGGAGAAAATTGAAGTCCTTGCAGCCAAGCTGGCTATCCCTGTGGTAAGTATGTTTGTATATGTTACAATACATATAGTTTTTAAAATACTCCAGATGATACAATCTACATAATCATATATATATATATATATATATATATATATATATATATATATATATATATATATATATATAACAATTTTGGCAGCTGGAGAGTGTACAAACGCCTGAACTGAGAGTGAAAACATGCGTTAAAGAAAACAACAGTAAAAAAGAAGAAGAAAGTATTAGCCTTTCACCAGGGTTGAGAAGAAGACTAGTGTAAGCAGAAATTAGAGAAATGACAATATTTCTGAATTAGTGAATTTAGGTTTTATCTCATATGATTTTGGATCTTGTTGAATTCATTTTCAGGCCTTCTTCTGGTGAACATAGAAGCCAAGATAGTTGTGAATCATCATCTGGTTCATCATCACCTGTTAAATTGGATGCTACAGCACAAGCACATGTCACAAAACACAGGAAACTTCAAGAAGATTTGACAGATGAAATGGTGGATTTGGCACGACAGCTCAAAGAGAGAAGTCTTTTGATGAACAAATCCATACAAAATACTGAAAGAGTAAGTTTTTTTCACATTTGTATATTGACCATTGACCATTGACTATTTGTTTGGTGGGATTTTACTTTTGAGTGCAGATTCTTGATTCGACTGAAAAAGCAGTGGAGCATAGCCTGGCAAGCACAGGACAAGCGAATACACAGGCTATGGCTGTATACACACAGACTTCCAACACCTCATGCTTCACGTGGTTTCTCATGTTTTTAATGACGTGTATTTTCGTCATGGTGGTTCTTCTTATCAAGCTCACTTAACCAGATAAACTTTACAATTATTTTACATGAATTGGTCATATTGTATATAATAAAATCAACTAGTTCTATAGATTCGTATATTACCCGGGTCATTGAATGCCTATCTAAAATAGTATGAGATGTGATTTTATTATCAACTTGTTCTCTTCAAGATTCATGATTGAGGATTATGAAGAATTTACGGACTTAAATGAATCTTGTTCTCTTCGTTTTTTTTATAACAACCAACAATATATAAAAAAGAAACGACAATAGCAAGAAGCTAGAGCATAAAATCAATTACAAAGTGTTCATATGGTTTTTTAATCAATTAACCCCAAAAAAAGTTACCATTCATGTTAAAGTACCAAAGGAAAGAAAGTTCTCTAATGGAATCGACAATTTCCTTCTTAATAAATTTTTTGAGAAAAGTACAATGGTGATTTTGTACATTAACCATTTTAACAATGTACAATACATCATGTTTTTTAAATAATCTAACGAACTTATTAATTTTTATCATTATGACTAAAATCCACAATAAATGATGAAAAGAATGTTACAATAAATGATAAAACCTTACTATATGTATATAATTTTCTACTTTTTTTTTTAGTTAACCCCATTACGAACGTAAAACCAGAAATAAAAATTACAAAGTTGGTTAGCAAGCAAACTTTTTAAATATTGGGTGTGTAATTTCAAAATCTTAAAAGTTTGGTTGGTTGGTTTGTCATAAAAGAATTTTGGTCCTGTGTAAAAAAACTGAAACTAAAAAGGACCAAATTGTATTAATGGACCAGCCGAGAATCGAACCCTAGTATGTACCGTGGCAAGATACTATTCTACCACTAGACCACTAGTGCTAGATGTTTTTAGTGCCATATATATATATATATATTCTATAAAGATAAACACTTAATGATATTCCACGTTTATTGAGAACAATACATTTTTAATTATATTTTATATTTCATTTGATAAAACGTGTCAAATTTGTTATTTATTGAGTTCTTTTATAGGAAATAGTGATGGAAACATCAAATTTAAGTTCCAATGGTCTATTTTCATACTTATATTTTTATGGTTTAGTGTAGTGATATTTTTTATGTAAAACTTATTACAATCGAGAAAATTTAATATGTTATGATTGATTTAAGTTTGCACGGTTGAATCTTATTCAAGACACACTTTGTATGTATTTTGTTGGAAAGTTGATATTATATCATAACCAATTAGTTTGTTGTTTTTTCCCAATTGGTTATTAAAGATTTTTTTGCAATTAGTTAATTAATTTATAAAGCTTGTGTTAATTACACCACTTTTAGCAAGGCAATATGATAAACATGTATACTTATTGACATGCTAATTAAAAATAACACAAATCTCAAATACTCTCCAGATTCTATCATCCCTCTACAAAATCTCCCTCTCCTTCCGTCACATTCTCTGCCACTTCGATTTCCTTTACAAGCACATGTATGGACAAGAATCTATATGTTTCCTTTACCTCTCATTTTTATACTTTAAAGACTCTTATACCGTACACGTAAAGAAGCAAATGGAAATAAATAAATTAGGGTAGGTGAGATGTGGTGACTTATCATTGTGGTTGTGTATAAAATACAAACACCTCACCCCACTCTACAATGCACCCTCAACACCTCATAGCCTTGGTTAAAATGTTTTCTGTACTATTGTCGTTAACTATGATCAACGATGGAGTTTCGTTGAGATCAAGTCATGTTTGTTTAGCAGGATATTTATATTGAGGGAGTTATGACTAGGGCTGGTCTTATGCTTCTATTTGTTAAGGTAGGGATTAGGGCCCCAAATTATAACGGGCCCCATTTAATTCCAATAGACTCTTCTATCCATCTATTTACGCCCCAAAAAAATCATGCTGCAATTCTAAAGACTACAATCACACCAACATTAAAGATGATTAAACTTCTCGCTGCTTTCGACTAAAACATGCTAACATTCCGTTTTTTGTCCATTCTCAGACTTGATTCAGACCTTCTTCTAATCTAATCCAATTCATTCTTCCACTATTCCACTGTTGTCGACTGAATCGCTATTGTTCTACTTCTCACTGCTGTTCTAGCCTCTCGGTTTCTCCACAACAATCGATTCTTCATTTAATTTGAAACGGTAATGTGCTTGACTAACGACTGCTTGTATTATCCCTTTTGACTTTCGATTTTCCTATTGTCTTATTATGTAATTAGGGTTAAATAATAGCCGATTAGCTTAAAGCCTGGAACCAGTGTTCTAAAAATCTCAATTGATATTGTTGATTAATGGAATAATGGTCGCCAAGCCAATAAGCTTTGTCCCACTACTTCAAATCTTCAATTTGCTTTATTTGGTAAATCATTCCTCAAAAAGATTGATGCTTTTTAGCTCTTGGCTTGGTTGATTGACCCCAAACTCCAAACTCTAATACATGGAAACTTCTGCATCAGTACTACAAAACTGAATTATGATGGAAGGTATCCATAGAACAGAATGATAGAAC